TAGAATATGTTTTGCCTTAGCTAGAATTTTTGCATCTGGCATCTGTTAGTGCACTTAAAGATGTTTTTTTGAGGAGAGCAATTATATGAGATCCCCAGTTTTGGTGTTGCTATTTCTCATCTAGAGATTTAGAGTTGTTTAATTCCAAGGTGATATATACTGTACTATTTGCTTGGGTAGTGAATGTAATTTGAGCACCACAAAACTTCCCAACAGAGGAAAGGAAATCTCTGTGTCCTTCATATGTTTGTATGTGTTATTTCTAAAAAAAAGTATAAGACCTCCTCAGTCAGATGCAGAGGAAGTCTTACAATTTTAGATATTAAAGAGAAAGCTTTACTAAGTTCAGTGGGACATATTACTAACAAAGATATCAGATGCCTAAAACAAGCACAACTGAACTCAGTGGAATATACTTTCAGAATATAGTTGTCTTAGATTGTCAAACTAATCAAGTTTTTTACTTTTATCAGTGGGCAGTCGAGATTCTTCTAAATGATTCCAACTTGATCTCTGTTGTTTATCTACATCTGAGGACCAGAGAAACACTTGACGCACATGAAAGTTTTATTTAACTGAAGTGACAGCAGAGGGAAAGAACTTTTATAAATTTGCTATCAAAATTAATGAAAAATGAGACATGTATTCTTCTAAAGCTTTTGGTAGTGAATTCCCGAAGTTTAATTATGCACCTCATGAGAAAGGAAAAATATCTCTTGTCATATAAAGCTGGAGAAAAATCTTTCAATTGGGTGTTGCTTTCTTGCTCTACTCTGGAGAAGAGAGGTGAATTGCAGTAATGCAATAATCGTGAGCTGTAAGAGTCCACTGAGATAATTTTTTTAAAAAAACCTTTGCATCTACCGGTACAGATAGTTTCACCTCACAAAGAATTGCCTGAGTAACAATCTCTTGCTGTCCCATAAGGCATGAGGCCCATCCTTAGGTCCAACTCTTTATTGTAACTTATTTGGGAGAGGACTTCCTATGGGTTATTTTTAGATATCCTTAAACATGTAAATGCTGAGCTGATTGAGAGTCTCTCCCCCCCCTTCCTGTATTTCTTTCTTTCTTTCTGATGGTTCCTTATCCAGAAATGCTCAGGCTACCCTTCCCACCCCTCATAATGCAAACTGGGCAGTTGCAAATCACTTTCCCTGACAAAAAAAATGATCTTAGAAACCATTCAAAGGGGAAACCAGTGGCCGAGGAGTGAAGGATCTATTCTGGCTAGTGGGGAGGAGACAAGGGGGTAGTTTTGTCTGGCAAGCTAGAATGTGGAATCTGTTTTGAAAAAAAGGAGAAGCAAAGCTATATTTTCAATCCTACCTTTTCAGAGGGTGTTTAATTTCGCCTGTTTGGGTGGCAGGACTCCTTCCAGACAAAACAATAGTATCAGTCCACACCAAGCAGATTAATTACTGCTTTAAGTAATTAAGCAGCTACCCACTTGACTTTCTGTGTGCATCATTTCCCTTGCCATTTGAAACTTGACATCTCAAAATTCACTCTTTGCTTAGACAGATGCCCCTGCTAGCTTTGCTTCTCTGAGAATGATGCTGCCCATTTGGCACCTCTGGGAAAGCCCCTCTTCATTAAAAAAGAGCTGTGAAGGAGGAGCCTGGCAGTGCACAGTTGGACATATAGTACTGGCCTGTTCAGAAAGTTGGTGGGTGCCTGTCACCGAGGCACCTCAAAAAACTGTGTTTTTTTTTTTTTTAAAAAAGATAATGGTTATACTTCTGTGTATGTAATTGTAAATAAAATCCATCTGTTGCTTATAGGGTCATAGTCTGCTTTGAAAACATTGTTTTGAAATCATTGCAGAAAAAGCCACATTTTAAAATTTGCCCTTAAAACCGAAGCTTCAGCTGGACATTTTTCTGCCCACCTGGACCAGAAGGAAATATCCCTGGCTTCATGGCCATTTACTTTCATAATAAATAACTTTGCTCATACTTCTTCAAACCTATGCCTTTTTGAAAGTGAGGCTGGTTAATTCAGCAAGGGCTGTCTTTCAGATTCCTAGAAAACCATCATAGTGTACATTGATAAATCATTTTCTTTATTATGTTTATGTCCAAATTTGGGAAGATGGATTTTTGCTTTTTTTTTTTTTCTCCCAGAACAAGTTTTCTTTTTAGCATGTTCCCTCTGCCACTGTCAGTTTAGCTCTTTGGAAAAAAAGCAGAAGTCACAAGGGCAATCTTTTCCTTCTGCCATCAAATGTATTGAACAGAGATGTCCAAAGTCACCAGAAGTTGAGCTAAAGTGGGCTGGAAGATTTTTGATTAGTCAATGGTGGAGATAAATCCCTGTGACTCTTCTTTCCAGAAAAAGTGAATGTATATTATACAATAATTATTCTGGGATCTGAAGTTTCACCCAATATCTGTAGGACGGCATTCAAAGATTTATCCAGTTTATAACATGTGCCAATATGAAAATAAGTTGATTTTTATGGTGTCACAAGGATGGCTGAGGCAGGGTTTTTTTCTAGTGATTGCTGCAAAGTGGAAAATGAAATAAAATTGATGGCTTCCTGCCCATAATTTTGGACAGGACATTAGGCATACTTGTGAAAAGAGTTTAATTGTATGGAAGACTGATCTACATATTTTTCCTCCGAAATGTTCTTCACTGAATTCAATGGGACGTTCCCAGTGAAGATTTGTGCCCCTGCAGTTGCTAGCCTTAACCGACTGTAAGCTTAGGAATTTTATAGCAATCTCACCACTATCAAACTGGGAATGATTTTAAGATTAGGATATTTTTAAAAGTTCTGAACATTCGTTGTAGATTTTTTGAAAGGGTTGGTTTCACTCTGACTTGGGGATCCCCTGAAGGAGCCCACTCCACTAACCAAAGAGTTTTCCTCCCTGCTGTTCAAGTAATTCTCTTTATGTAAAATCCATTAGGATTGGAGGGGCTGATAAAGATTGCAAAACAAAGCACAGTCATTTAACTGCTAATTGTGAAGGGTATTTACATCTCTTTGGTGTTTTTAAAAAAGAGCCTTCGATATAGAGATAGTTCGATATTAGGAACACAGAATGTTTACACTTTAAAAAAATGCCTAATGAGCAGGCAAGGCTTGCTTGCTTTATGCTTGTAATTCTATAGGCTGAATACAAAGTCTTTTATTTGAGTAAATGTCATTTATTTCCACCTGGTCTTTAGGGCATTTATTTAGACAAATCTTGTTGAAATTAACAAGCAGAAGTAGCATGTTCATGTTCAGAAATACGAATTGGATATCTAGTTATGAGGCCACTGTCATACCCCATACATGTTTTATGTATAATTACATGGGCTGTATATATGTTTATTTATGTCATGTTCTCATCATATGCCAAATTAATAATAATAAAATTTAGAAATGATAAATGTGGGAAAGAGCAAAGTTGCAAACATTTCTGTCTCCATCGTCCACACATTCAGTTCTGGACTGTAAGATTTCAACCCGATGTTTAAAATAAACGTATAAGAAAAATGATTCTATGATTAACATAAATTTGGCACTGTTTCCAGTTTAGAGAAGCATCCTGTTTTTCTGATATTTCTATCTCTGTAGCAATCCTGTCTTTGTATGAGGCAATATTCCTGTTTGATGGGAATCAGGACTCGAAATATTTTAAAGAAGGAATAGTAGGTTTTGTGGGGAGAAAAAAAGATTTAAAACTCAAAAGGCAATAATTTAGACTAACTGTACAAAATTGTGCAAAATTTGTGTTGCAGAGAATATAAATGGGGGAGCAGTCTTATATTGCTGGAGCATTGAACTGGCATTAAGAAAGGCATGTTTCCTCTGAAGATCAGCACTGATTACTTTTCTGTTCCAGAGGTTCAAATTGAGGGTGGATAATCATCTAACCTATAACTGTGATAGCTCTGTGTTTTAGTATATGATATACTAAAAACTTCTGGACCTCGTGGGATTTATTTCTAAGGGAATCTATTTTTTCTTCCTGATTTTTATCACCATTTCCTAGCACTTGTTTCTGTGACTGGATCAGATTCCAAAAATCTCTTTCACTTCTGAAAAAGAAGTCCAGATCCAGGGGGTTTGTTTGTGCTATCTTTGTAGGTTCAGGCCTTGTTGCCATCCATTCACACATATCGAAATAAAACAATCGGGATGTGTTGTTTGCGCCGGCCTAAAAAGGAAATTGCCTTTCGAAACAGTCTAGCCACAGATCCAGGGAGCTCACTGCGGTGCACTTTATCGATTGAAATAGCAACTCGATCCTTCAGCGACCCACGGAAGTTTCGGGCACTAGTCAGTCCCAGCCTACCTGCTGGGTAGAATGAAAGGAGCTGCGTAAAAGATTCATCCTCCCCACACCCCAGATCCTCCATATTCAGGAATGGAGGGGAATGACACCGCCTCAATTTTTTTTAAACACTCCTACTCCGTTAGAAAGGACTTGGTAATTCATTTGGAAAGGGAATGCCCGCTCTTTGCATCGCCCGCGAAGAATTCTCCGAAGAGAAACCTAAGCTGCCTCTGGCGCTGCCTCTGATTCTGAAGCTCAAATGGGGACGGATCGTGAAGAATAAAGAGAGCTACATGCTCCGAATCGGGCATATCTACACCACTTCCTTGGGCAGAGAGGACCGAGGAAGACCCAGTTCAGGGAAACGGAGAGCTCCGAAAAGCCGATTTTCGCTGGGCCGTCACAAACTCGAGGGCACGGCGGAGCGGAGGCGTGGCTTGCTGCTCCCCCTTCTTCCTTCCTTCCTTTCTTGGCCATCCCTCTGCTGCTCTGATTGGCCGCTTCCCGTCCAATCAAATCCCAGAAGAAACTTTCTCTTTTTCTTTTTTTTCTCTCCGAGGTAGAAAAAAAAAAGAGAGTGAGTCTGGGAAGCTGATTTTTGCCGAAGGGTCGTGGGCGGGTGGATACTTTTTATTCCCCCCCCTCTTCCTTTTTCCAGAGAGGGGAGTTTCTGGTGTGTGTGTGTGTGTTTGGATGCGGGTGCGCGCGCGAGATTGGTTTTTTTTTTTTTTGTGGGTGGGGGGGTTGTTGTTATTTTGTTTGTCGCGCCTGGCTTTCGCAGCGCGTGGCTGGAGCTCTGCGTGGCCTCGTTTTGCCTCCAGCGATGCGGCCGGGCCAAGAGACATTTCGGCGTTGAAGTCTCCGGGCTGACCAGAGGAAAGGAGGCAGTTTACTTCTCGCTGGTTTGCTGGCTGGCGGCGGCTCAGTCGGAGCGCACAGTTATCGAGTCTGTGGGTCCATCTGGCCAGTGAAAGGAGCGGGTGGCCGCCGGATCGGCAGGATGTACACTGCCGGACTCGCTCCCTTTTATGCTTCCAACTTCAGTCTGTGGTCAGCGGCATATTGTACCCCGGCCGGCCCCGGCGCTGGCGCCTGTTTCTCCTTGGATCCCTCGGGGCTCAAGAAACCGTCTTTCTGCATCGCGGACATCTTACACGCCGCCGCAGGAGAAGCCTCTGTGGACGGCCTGCCCGGAGGAACCGCGGCTAATCTGGCTTCCCATTTAAGTGGAATCCATGCCCATGCACAGTACCACGGCGCCGCTTCCCCGCTCAGACCAACACCCATGGTGGCTCCGGACACTTCGGTCGCCTTCGCCTCCAGGCTGTCACCTCTCTCGGCTACCTACCACAACTCTCATCCTCAGCACCAGCGCTCTCCCACAGGCGGCTCCGGCGGGGGTGCACGAACCCCGGGCGGAGGGCAAAGCCGCCAGACCCACTCCGGCTCTGCAGCCGCTCCCTCTAGCAAAGACTTGAAATTTGGGATTGATCGCATTTTGTCTGCCGAGTTCGACCCGAAACTGAAGGAGAGCAACACCCTGAGAGGTTAGCTTTTTGCTTTCTTCTCCCTTCTGGAGAACCTAAGTTGTTTTGTTAAATTGTATGTGGAACAGAACGTGTGTGTGTGTGTGTGTGTGTGTGTGTGTGTGTGTGTGTGTGTGTGTTAAACAGAGAAGCAGCGCCCCTTAGAATTTGAGCATAATAATCTTCTCCGGTTCTTGCAGGTTCCTTTCAACAGTCCTTTAGAATGGTCGGTACTGTCTCTTTATTTGAAGGGAGATTATATGTAATCTTCCCAGTTCAACTGGAAGGTCAACCCTGTGTGGTCCAACTATGAGGTTGCGGACCCTTGCTTACAACCTGCAGGAAGGGTGGGTTGAACTGGGGAAAAGAGTCTATAGAAGGACCCGTTTTGCTAATCTTCCTTCAGTTACTAATGCCCAAACCTTTTAGATTAGCTCGAAAAGATTGAAAAGAACAAATAACAAAAACAAATCTTTGACTATAATCAAGTGTAACTTGTAAAAGCCCAGCCCTTGCTAGAATTGGGGGAAGGAACCCAACACAGCTCTGCTGCAGCTGCAATGTTTCTGTTGTTGCTCAATGGAACAAACAGTTGAGCAATTGGATTGCTTAAAAATTCAGAAATCTTTGGAAGAAATTCAGGCCAGAGTCTCCTTCCAGAATGTATTTACTTGGAAGTAAGTCTCATTGATTTGGATACTGCGGTTCTAAACTAATTGAGTGGCTTTTCTCTAGGATCGCAGGGTATCTGAATTGTCGGTGCATGTAGTCCTTTTTTCTGACTCCCAAAATTGTGAATAAATCCTCCATGAGGTAAATGGGGTTTATTTCTCAGTAAGCATTTGTAGCTTTGCACTGCCCATCAATGAATGTATTAATCTGGGTGTTGGAGATAAGAGCAACCAACCTGTCTCCATGAGCAAAGTCACCCCATTATTGCTTATGATGGGCATATTTATGACCCAAAGGAAAATGATCTCTGATTGCACTTAATGTTAAATATCCTTGTGGATTATGAGAAATGCAAACAACCCAAGAAAGCTTTATTTTCCAGGAGATAGCTAGACAGACAGACAGACAGATAGGATAGCTGTGATTTAATTGTAAGATCACATTAAAGCTGCAAAAAACCTGAGTTTGAATTTTTGGGTTGTATGGCTTAAGCTCCCACATGGTGAAAGCTGGTTTCTTGGATTGAAGCCCAACCCATTGCTGAGCATCCTTGGGCCTGGAGGTTGTTTTTACCTATCAGGTAAATCAATCTGCTGGTCCCTTTGCAAGCAAATTTAGAGAGGTTCAATTGAAGAATGTGCTGAATCAAGGAAGGGAGAATGGTCTAGAGGCCTGTCACAAACATGAATTGCCCTTTTACTTTCAGTGTGGCTACTTCACATTTGTAAAAAAAAAATTAAGAAAAGCAGTTTGGGCTCTTCATAGAAATATCTTTCTTTGGCTGCCCTCCCTGAAATAATGCAGGATTTGAGCCCTTCAGTCTTCCTTTGTTTTTCCACTTCCCTCCACCTATCCTTGGAGTGGGAAGAATTACCCCAAACAGATTATCAGCACTGCAGTACAAATGGCTACATTAACTGGGAAATGTAACTAGGGAGAAAATCTCTTATGGCCACCCTCATCTGTCTGATATGTGGCATCAAAGGCCAAAAGAGGCACCCGAGAGTTTGCTGGAGAAGTTCTTCCCTGGTTTGGGCCTACCCAGTCACCAGAGGAATGATTTCAGCCTGTCTTGAATGGAATTGGAATTGGTTTTACAGTTTAGTTTTGGTCTTGGATGAGGAGCACATACTGTGAGCCTCACAGTGGCATTTGTACACAGAGGAGTTTGTCAGTTTCAGGTCTGTTGAGGGCCTCCAAACCTTTGAAGGTGGCCTTGGAGTCCCCCCACTTCCCTACAGGCCACCAGGGCTTGCCACCAATGGGCTTATGGCCGAGGTATGTAGAGAGGGGTTGGGACCTGCACCATTCTGCTAGTCTTGTAACAGAGCTCTCCTTGTTCCTGTGCCCACAGATCTGACCTCTTTATTAACCGCCAGCCGCCCAAGCGGGATTCATGTCCCCACATTACAGCCTCCGTCCGGCCAGTTCTTCACGTCTCTAGAACCCATTAACGAGACTTCTGGGGTCCTGGGACCCTTAAACACAACCCCAAGGAATTCCGTTCAGCACCAGTTTCAAGACACTTTTCCAGGTATAAAAACTCATCCTGAGCACGGATCAATCCCTCTCTGCCACTCTCAAAGTGAGAGTGAACCTGGTTGCCTTCCGATTTTCCCATCATCCCTAGACAATGTGGCACTTTTCCTGGCTAAAATTTACTCCCTTTGGAAGGCACCCAATTGAGGAAAGTAGATTAATTTTTTTTCAAGGGTTTTTTTCCTTACTCACTTTTACTCTTGAAATAAGGATCAGCGAAGCAAGCCTATGGAAGGCTCAGCGCTTGTAATTAGGATTCATCAGCACCGGATCCTAAGCTCGTTATTTGTTTCAGCAGAGCTTATTTCCACGCAAATGGATCCTGGTTATGGATGGCCCCTTTGACAAGCAAAAAGATCCGCAACCTTAATCTTAGGTGTGAAAAAGGAGCTAATGAAAGACTGTTTCTTTGCTCCTGACTTAACTGACATCCTCTTGGGGCTATAACTTTGGAAGGCTGGGATTGTTAACGTGGCCAAGAAATTTAGCAACATCTGGAAGATCGAGGGTAAAGGCCCTGACTTTCAAGGAGAATCAGAGCCCGGGAATCCTTAGAGGGGAGTTAAATAGACTAGCGATCCAGCTGCATAAGACGATCCAAAGAAAGAAGGAACTGTAGGGGCGGGCTGCGTTATTTCAGGCGCAGTAGCGGCAGCACAGGGTTCTTTTGCAACCACTGAAAAACTAGTACTTTACTTTACTTTACTTTATTTACTACAAGACTAGTAATCCTTGACTACTGGAACGGAGCTATTCTTAGCAGCCGGCTTCTACTGGAGACTTTTTGGGAAAGTTAGCCCCCTTGGACGTGCTTTCCCTGCAAGCGGGGGCGACGGGGATTCGACTTTTATCCACTCATGATCAGCCCCTTAAATGCCTGTCTCTCTTTTTTTTGTTCAACCTTCCAGGTCCGTATGCGGTGCTTACGAAAGACACGCTGCCTCAGACCTACAAACGGAAACGCTCGTGGTCCCGGGCGGTTTTTTCTAATCTCCAAAGAAAAGGATTGGAGAAACGCTTTGAAATCCAGAAATATGTCACCAAACCGGACAGAAAACAATTGGCCGCCATGTTAGGGCTCACAGATGCTCAAGTAAGGATTTTTTCCCCCCTACTAAAAAACTCCTTTTGACTAATTTATCTGTAGCCCCAAACCCGATTGAGCATTTAGCTGTGTTTCTACTTGGACGTCTATTATAAATCCCATCCTTCCACAGACTGTTATTTGTTAAAGTTTAAATGCTAATTATTTAAAGCAAAGGAAATCTGTCACCTTAGCAAAGAAATAAAACCCACATGCCCCTATATTTAATATGTAGCAAATAGACTTGCCCACTTCACCTTTCATGTGTAACACCCACACCATAAGTGCCTTGTGGTATCCCTATTTCTTACCCACTGGACAAACCAATGTTTCCAGAGGAGGAACTTATCCCATATAGTGGTTCTACAGTAATATCTTATTGAAGCTGTTTTCATTATTCCTTGGCTTATTCCAAAATAATTTCTACTAGTGGGATATGCACAACAGCCTCACTACCACAGCATTATTTCAGTTAGGTTGACAGAACACATGGAGCTGGGCAGCTAAATCATTAGGCCACATTTCCACAGCACAGCAAGTCATAAACAAAAATAATAAATTTAATCAAGTGTAGTGGGTTAATGGTGTTATGCAACTGCAGCCCTTAAGATTTTGCCTGATTTGGTTAAGATTCATTACTGAAGTCAGTCACCAATGCTTGAATTCAGGAAACTGGATATAAAATGGAGTTCTTATATGCCTGTTAACGTCCTCCTTCATATTTGTCCATATTCAGAGAAGCTGAAACGCTGCCTCCCAAGTTTGTCATCTAACCCATCTGCAAGCTCTTACTGAACAGAGTGTATGTTTGCGCAACAGCCTTAACCACATCAGTTACAAATCAAGCAACTATTAGCCAACATGTTAAACCTAATTTTAACCTTGATTAGATGTTGTGGGTCTGAAAGGGTGTACATGATGGAATGTTGCAAAACCTAACTACTTTATGGTTCAGTGTATTGGGGAACCAAAAATAAAGATCAATTAAATAAGCTGTTAAACTGGGTAGATCTTGTTTGTAGAAGGTGGTTGAAGTGGACAGTGTTTTATGTGCGGGAGAGGCGCCTGCAGGGCAGAAAAGAACAACTTAACCACCCCTCCCCCACCAACCTCTGGGTGCAACATAAGCAATTTGTTTCTACATGGCTTCATCCTGAGTAAGACAAGGCAGTAAATAACACGTCTAGCAGGACCATAAATTAGGTCCGAGATTGATCTGTCATTACAGCCAAAGTGTTTATTTTGGCTGCTAGCGAGAAATGCCTGCAAGAAAGAAGGGACAACTGGCTGAGAAGAAACCAAAAATATGGACAATTGCCATTGACTCCAGCCTAATCCTGTGGAACTGAGTCCACAGTTCAATTCTGAGCTTCAGATTTTTTTTTCTTCTATTGATGTAGCGGGAGAAATTGGACAAATGCACACGTTTTCTTCCTCCCTCTCCAGTGTTTTCCATCACAGTGGGTGAAAAGGGATCCTTGTTTTTCCTCCATTCATTCACAAATGCCCTTTCTGGGTGAGTGGGGGCTAAATTTTATAAGCCAGGAAAGTCTGTCTTTTGAGGAAGGAAAATTTCCGAGCACTTTCTCTAACTAATGTGTAAACTGTAGGAAAATGCCAATACTATCCTCCTAGCAGCCCTGTGGATTAAAAAGACATCCCTTGTTCAGCGAAAAGGTGATTCTTACTATACAAACCTTGATTTATCATCCAGATTCTATCGTATCACAGATATGGGAAACCTGTGAATGTGTGAACTATATTTCCCAGTAATTCCAGCCAGGCTAATCAATGGTGATAGATATTGGAAGTTCCTATAGAAAGTGGGGTGGGGGTAGACAGTAGAATAATATTTAATGAAATAACATATAAACACAGAACATATTCTATAGTTTTTAATTATTTTAGTATCTTTTCTTTGGACAGACACACAAACATATTGTACCCTATTTGTAAAGTAAATATGTCTGGGAAAGCAGGCACACTCTTAATTTTCCTGAACTCACTTGAATTGTTTAATTGTGCTATGCTACAAATGGCTTCTGAGAAGTAATTTCCAGAGTTCACTGGATTTTTTCCATGGTAAATAGATATTGCCTTAACCTCTTTCTTTGAAAACCAAGTTGACAACTGTAACCTGATCTCTCAATTTGTTTTAGAATAAATGTTAAAATTAGTTACCAAGCTACATATGCACTTATACCATCAAGAGGCCTCTCTTGTAATCATTATCAATGACAACTTTTTTATATGAACAAAATAAAAAAAAATGTAGTGATAGAAGTGATAGGATGATTATAAAGGCAGATTCATAACTTGAATCTGATAACAATATCAATGTTATTTTGTTTTTAAAATGTTTAAATATTTTTAAAAATGTAGGTATAAATGGGATAAACTGTTATCGGCATCATATATCCCCACCCCTTGTTTACATATACTTGGTCCTCCTGTTGGAAGGAGAAAGGAACTCCAGCCGCTGGAGTAAATTCAGGCTGAGGCACATTCCCTGCTACTTTCCAGAACTAAAAAGCCTGGGCTGTTTGATTAACATTCCAGCCTCAATCACCTGTAGACCACCCAGATTTTAACAAGAAAAAATGGAATGAAGGGAGAACTAAGAAATAAAATGAGACTTTGTAATTTTAATGTGTAAAATGCAGAGGGACAAATTAAATGCAGAGTTGTACAAATTAAAGAATTTATATAATTTTGTTGTAGCCGGAGAGCAGAGGAAGACCTGGATTTGTCTGTTTGTCTGCCTGTCTGTTTCTCTCTGTCTGTCTCTGTCTGTCTCTGTTTCTCAACTCAGTTTTGTTAGGAAGTGAAAATCTAAACCAGTGACTTTGCCTGCAAATATTTCTGCAGGAAAATGCTGGGCTCACTCTTAGAAACAGCAGGATTAAGAATTTGTGAAGTACTTATGATGGGAAGGGAAAACTTGGGAATTCAGCAATTTCATTCCCCCATTGATACATGATTTTTTAAAAAAAGTCTAAGGTATTTTCCTTTTCCTCTCTTCTGCCTTTTTTTTTGTCCACTAATGTCACCATCCTTGATAATGCCAGTGCAAGGAAAGCCAAAATAATGAATTAGCGCTTCAGATTCAGCTTTACCCTATTTCCTTTATTATCTTGCATGAAAAAAAAAGGGGGGGCACCTTTAAATCCTGAATTAAACTTTGGAACCCACCTCCTTTGTAAGGTCTGAACAATTATGTGGCTAATGTTTTAGGAGGACCCAGCAAAATGAGCCCAACCTCCAGATTTTGTCAGGAAGGAAAGGGGCAGAAAGGAATGGATGACATTCTGCTCAGGTAGCATAAACAGAGTCAATGTTGTGCTTTCAGCTACTCTTGACTTCTGGCAGCTACTTGGACACATCCCTGCAGGGTTTTTTGGCAAGGTTGTGGGAAGTGACTCTTTCCTAGACTGAGAGAGAGGGACTAGATGAAGGTTACTCAGCTCTCCATGTTCTAGCCTGCTGCCTTAACCACTCGTCAAACTTACTGAACTCTAGGGTTAGACTCCCCAAATGCCCAGACAATTGTGAAGGGCTTGTCCCCCTACCAAAAGCATCAACACCTCCTCCTCCTCTTCCCACTCCCAAGCAGCACCCTCCATCCTTGAGGTGATATAAAGCCTGCGCTCAAAAAAGTGACATCGGCCCAGCAATGGTTGGATGACTCATGAGAAAATGGCCCTAAATTTTTCATTTTAAAAATGAGAATTAACCTCAAAGACATGATCCTTCCGAATTACTGCATTGTCCACTTATTTCTTTATTCACGAGAACTAGAATATTTCACTCTACTTTTTTAAAAAAAATCCCAGACCAGGGAGGGGAACTATTACAAAATGGAGCAAATGCCGGTCTAGCCCGAGTTAATTTTGAGCCCCTCCTCTCTTCTGTAGTTGTCTCCCCCCCCCCCCCCCCAACCCTTTGCTTTGTGCTCTCCACCCATCCATCTTTTTGTTATCATATTGATGTATTTGTTCTTGTTGTGTTCCTTTGTCATAGTTTACTTTAGTGTTAGGGCTTTATTTGTTTTAGTTGTGTTCCGTTTGCACGCCTTGCGTTATTTCTTCCTTTTCATTATTCTAAGCCGCCTAGGCAGCGGATAAATTTAACAAATAATAAATGCATAAATAAATTTGCCCGCAGGTGAAAGTCTGGTTCCAGAACCGGCGCATGAAATGGCGACATTCCAAAGAGGCGCAGGCGCAGAAGGACAAAGAGAAAGAACCGGCCGAGAAAGTGGCTGCAGCCGGAGCGGCTCTGGGGCCTGGGCCAGCAGGCGAAGCTGAGCTCGAGCGCAGCCCGAGCCGCTCGGAAGGCGAAAGCGACAGCAGCGAGGCCGAATCCCTGGATCTGGAGTTCGGAAGCGACGCGGAACGGACTGAGCCGGGAGCTACCCCTGATCAGGCCCTGCAGCGGCACATCTCGGAGCTTCACCCACCTGCCGGTTTGGAGACCGCAGCTCACCCCGAGCCGCCTCCTCCTCTCCCAGGCCTGGAGCAAAGCCGGGAGCCTCTGCGGTGCCCCGAGTCTTCGTTTTGCCTGCGGGACTCTCCGTGATGGCCTCCCTTCAGCCAAGCTGGGAACCTGCCAAGAGCCCCAGCTCCGAGGGCTCAGCCGGACAGAGGCCTCTTGGATGCCGGATACTAACTCCTAGTGTGGGCGTAGCGCTCCAGAATGGGTTCCGGGGGAATTGACTTTGAACGGCGGGTAGAGCTGGGCTACCTTCGGAATCGGGGCCCTGTCCCTATATGGAGTGTGCGGGGCGGGGGGCCTCTCCAAAAGACATGGGGCGGCCCAGAGGTGATCCTGCAGGCCTCCAGACGGCGCGCCCTGAACGGGTCCACTCAGGTAGGCAGGGAGGGAAGTTGGGCGCCTTCATGGCAAAGAGTCCCCCGGCCACGAAGCTTCCTGTTGAGAGGAGCTTAGCAAGGGCCAAGGGGGAAAAAAACTCGGGTTGTGCCGCCTCCCCCCCGCGTCCCCCCCCCCCCCCCCCCCCCCCCCGTGGCAAACGGTTGCTTGAAAAACGAAGCTGGGAGAGCCAACAGACTTGGAGGAAGATGGAGAAAAGTGGATTGTAAATAAAAGAGTTTCTTAACATTTTAACGGGTATTTTTGTTCATGACAAAAGTAGGCTAGCTGCCTTAGTGGTCTGACGGCTGAGTTGCTGATTCTTACCTGCTGCACCTGAGCATCGATTATCTTCTCCCAAAATCTCCAAGTTCTGTGTGCCCCCCCCCCCACCAAGGATGGTATGTAATAAGTACTTTGAAGAAAGGGTAGGCAAAGTTTGTTCCAAACTTTTTCTGAACTAAGAAGTCCAAAGTTGTAGTATAGGAAAGCAATCCTTTTAGGGATTTTAAATTTCCTTATTTATTAAAAAGCAAGGGATTTCATACAGGGCTCTGCATTTAATTTCTTTAGTTACAATGAATGGCTTGGTGATAAGCAAATGGCACTTAAAAATAATCCACTAAATAAAATTTGAAGGTGAATCCTCCAATCTGCCCTAAAGGTAGAATACCAATACAGAGGAAAATGCAGATTAATTTAATGGAGGTATGGAGCTATGGTTTCCAAGCAACTTAATAGCTGTGTCCCTTTGCATGTTCATTTTAACAGCCTGCTTTTGGGAGGAACAGTCTGGTATCCGATGTATCTCCATGAAATTTATTTCTAAATGCATAGGGTTGTGTTCCACCTACTTGGGTATACTTTGGAAAGAACATCTACATAATTACATTATTTGGTTAAAGATTCAGGCACGCTCATGTTTATTACTTAAAATTGCTTTGAATAGAGGAAAAGTTACTTTCAAAATAGTCATAGCAAAAAAAAGGCAGTTCCCCTCCACAAGTAATTCATGCTCTCCATTGTTGGCTTCTTCAGGAAAGTCATTCTGAAACTGGAAATTAAGATAAAATGCAATTCCAATCCCAATTATTTGAAACTTAGTTGGTAATAAAGCACATAGCATAAAGTTCCTTCCTCTCCAAGCATTTTGCTCCTCCTGCACATTTATCTGAAAAGGAAAGAAACAGCATTACAAACGATGAAATTGTGTATTTAGGAAGAAATTGGGTCTGGGGAGTAAGAGAATTATAGGACAAAACTGATTTACCTTTTAATTCATCCTCCACTATTTCACTAACAGCATCCAACTGAATGAGGCAATTGAATTTGAGAAGAATGTTAAGAGTTTTGTTACACCTTAAAAATGAATAGATTTATTACAGATTGAGCTCTCATCTAACTATTAAAAAAAACTAATGCTGGGACAACAGTAACAGTAAACATTAGGGTAAAGAGAAATAAAAAGTGCCAGAATATAAAGATGGTTTTAATTCTTTCATTGGCAGTAGTAGTTGCTAGATGGTTATACAGACTTTTTTTTTTGCACTATCAAGATAATATTTAGTTGTGTTCAAGCCTCAGGAAACAGAGTTAATCTTTTATGGAATACAGCTCAGCCTTTCATGTTAAAATGGGGAAATAAAATGAAGGGATAGATATAGGTACAATATAAAGGATATTTTTACAATAAGAAAAGGGAAGGTACACACTGATATTGGTATCTGATATATTCACAATCTGTATATAAACTGCTATGTTGATTTTATTTCCACTTTTGCCAATAGTTCTAGCAGATGTAGAAGCCAGACTGAATATTATGAAAGATTTATGAATGACTTTTTCAAGTCACTAGAAATAAGATGATCTCTCCATTGGAAATTTTTCCACAGCCCCCAAAATTTCCGCATGTGCACACACACACAAACAAATTGTAGCCTCTGGGAAGTATGCAGGGGCCACTAAAAGCATTGGCAGAAGGCAAGCAGTTCCTGATCCAGAGGTTTTGCATCCATGCTATAGAGCAAAAACTGAAATTGGGGATCCCAGGAATCCTGGGATCTATAAACTAGCAAAGTTTAAGGGAGTTAATCTGGAATTCAAACCTTTGATTTTTCTTTTAAACCAAAACCCTTTTCCTGTCATTCTTGTAAGAATTATATTGCACCACTGTAATTTATCTAAATTTGTCTTGGATCATAATGTTCTTTTGAAATCTCAGCTATGCTACTTAGGCAGCCCAAATGACTCATACTATTTATACAACCAAATCACAGAATTGTTTTATTAAGCAGTTTAGGTCAACCTCTGCTTTATCATTTCACATGTACAGTATATGATGTACAAATTAAGTTTTGTTGCAGCCACATGTCACATGTTTTGTTGCTACTATATTGCTGTTGAGGTAGATCATAGTTATTTTTGAGAATTGCAAAACATGAAGGATTTAGGAACATTTTCTCAAAAAAAAGGCAAAATGTAATTTCTACTTAGGGTGCAAAGTTTAATAATCCATCTCCAACTTCAGTTCAGAGTGAGATGAAACTAGCCATTCTTTGATTTATCCCCTCAGTATCAAAAGGTATGTTGCCATTCAACTATTCTAAAATTGACAATTAAAAGAACCAATGTGATGATGACAAATTGACAATTTCCTCTCATTGAATTATCTGTTATTGATCACAGCTCAATTTATTTTCCTTGAATTTGTTTAATCTACGGAGGGGATTATCTGTCCTCCACCAGCATAATAAGGGTGGTAATGGAAAAATATACAGAAGGCCACATGTTCCTGCTCCTTTAATCCAGTCCAAAGAAAACAGTTTGCTTTCTTGCTAGATATAGTCTTGATTGCCCACTTGTCATCTTGCCTCAAACCAGATACAGAATGGATAGAAATTCTACTCTGTAATCAGTTGGAGCTCATCAGTAGGTGCTCAGGATCAGGTTGCAAGCCCTCTGAGTATGAGCATCATAAAATAAGTTGAAGGGTTGCTATGAATCGGGCAACAGTTTCCCATCTAATTCGTTGTACTTTGAACAGAAGTGGATGCGTATAATAATGTACAAAAGAAGTGTAATAATAGAAAGTAGAATTCTTATTCCTACTACTTATTCCTACTACTACTCTTGACCTTCTTCCATACAAGCCATACTGGTGGGAAAGAGCAACAAGTATAGATATAGGATGGGAAGGGGAAAAAAACCCTGTAAAACTTTAGCAGAAAGTGGAGTTCTTGATACAAATGTAAAGAAAAGAAATAATATCTGAAGCAATCAATCATTTTCAGTCTGCATAGTTGCTGAAACATGGAATCATTTCCCATATTAGATGTAATTTCAGTGTCATTAAGACAAATCCTGGCACCTCTCTTACTAGTTGGGATTGATGGCAACAGAAGGCACACAAAGCTTGCGGTCTTATACCATGTTCTATCACATTTGCTTCTGCATAAGTATGCTGATAGGTTTCTGTGATTGGATTTCAATCCTATACCCTTATTTGCTCAGAGTAAAACCCCTTAAATGGGATTTACTTCTGCCTTTTTTTGTGATTTATGATTTAATTTCTACACAAAGTTTAACCCTGATCCCAAAGCAACAAAACACAATTACTATACCAGGTGATCTTCTTGCCAACAGAAGCCATATTGTGATTTAATATGATGCACAGCAAGCTTAACAATATTCTAAAACTATTCACATCTGTTTAGTCCAATGTCTTTTGTTGGGGGAATCGGCCAACATGGGATATGTAAGCAAAAGTACTAATTTTCAAGAGTTATTATATTATATGGAAAATACATATTTTTTTCCTTTTGTTTCTGAATGGTGACATTTCAGTCTGTGAGGATATCCCAGTGGCAGTCATCAAGATGATGGAATCATCATTCTATAACATCTGGAGGGCATTGGGTTTTTTTTTTAGTATTAGTCCTTCATTTGATTGGATTACATATTGGTAGCATTTTCATGGAGATTTAGTTTTCAGTTTGGGTTTAAATTCAGAATATCTATAGTAATAGGATCGGTTTATGCATGTAGTTATATAGGAAGCTGGAACCAGACTCCTTGGGATTCTAATGCCTACATATATGTAGCCCACTTAACCTGAATCAATCCATTTTTTTTGTTTGTACAATAAAGGTTGAATGATGAACTAAACAAAAGTGCTTTCTCACAATAAGCTAAGCCCCACCCCCACTCTAAATGAATGCTGAAACATTACCTTTAACATAAGAAGCCCTTCTGTTATGTAGAAGTCTTCCTTTGAAAAAGGCTAATCCTGACTAAGTTTACTCTCCCAGGCTAAGGTACCAAGACCTGCACCTCAGGGCTCCTTCCTGGTCATATGTAGAGAGGTTCCACCGAAGTTTTGGAGACTTGCTTCAAGATATCTAGCCTCATATCTCATATGATATCTCATTTCACTGGAAGTATGTTCCTCTTGCTTGCCATAAAGCATAAAGTCCATATTCATATTGGAAGGGTCACGTATGTGCCTTTGATTTAAATGGGGTTTGTAAGTTAAGAACCCAGATGAAAGTAACTGGAAGTGAGGCATATTCCTTGATTCAACAGTTGCTTAGTTTGTCTTAGCTATTTCTTCCTGGTGTTACAAGTTGGGCTTCACTGAGACCTAAACTCCTTTTTGAACACACAAATCTCACCAAAACGCTCCTTAGCATCTAATTCAGGAGTACTGAATTAGATGCTAGAAAGAAGGGCAGAAATCAGTAGGGATTTATCTCTAGGTAACATGTCCATTTGAAAGGTTGTCACTTGGAACTAAAAAAAAAAATTAAATACAGTTGCAAATATATGCAATGTTGTTTTAGCTGCCCCATCTTTTTATGCCTGGAAGAGAAGATTGAAGTAAGTAGCTTGAAAGGGGTCTTATTGGGAGTTAATGAATCTAAATAAATGGCGTATTTAATGAGAATTTGTTACAGGGGAAAATTATGTTTAGGACTGGGTGCCAGCCATTCAGGAATGTCTAC